AATCTTCTTTAAATTGGATTTTCGGTTTCATATTATGTTAATTAATTTTCCACTCCTTTATCAAAGTTAAACCAAGTACATTTGAAAGGAATTACCGAACTAAATAAATTCGGGGCTTTCCCGCGAAATATTTAAGTCATCGTTAACATCTTATTCACCGTGTTCATGGAGGCAAACAGCAAATTTATCGTCTGAATAATAAGTTGCTCGCTATACATATAACTAAAGAGAAGGCAAAGCCGCTTTTGTACGCGCAGCAAACCCCTTTGGCGCGCCTAATATACATATCAATAGAGAGAAAGCCCTGTGGCATAATTTGCATTGCGCCGCCGCTTGAGAGTTCATTTGACGCGGCCCCGAGCAGGTCGCCTGGAAAAACGAGCCGAGAGCCAAAATTTCAAAGAGTTGGAAATTCTATACAGGAAAATAATTACTTTTTATAAAAAAAAAAAAAAATGCACAAAATATTTCAAATTTTTTAAGAGATGGCAACAATCTTGAACTAGACAAGCGTAAATAAAGTTTTTTTAAAAATATTTGAAGCAGGGTTTAAATTTGAAATCGACCTTTAATTTCCACAAACCATGATTTATTTTATAAAAAAAGAGACTATACTGCCAAAGAGATTTAGATGTTAACAGATGTTAATAGAAATAAATTACAATATTTCCAAAATCAATTATATGCGAATATCAATATGAATTAATGGATTTTAAAATAATCTAAATATTTCGGCCTCATTAATAAAATTTAATGAATTTGTAAATTTATGCAAATTTTGAGAAAAATATCAGCTTAAAAACAGCAGGATCCAGTAATGCTCTTCTTATATCTTTGTTACAAAAATAAATTACAAATTTTTCAAGCATTTTCAAATTTTTGGATAAAATTATCTGTTAGATTTTGAATAATTTGAAATAAATACGGAAAAAGTTTCGTGCAGCTTATCAGAGTCGCTTGTTTTGTTGGTATTAAAATTATTAGCAAATCAAATCAGCGTTCGTGCGTCGGCTCTGATCGGATTTAGTCCGATTTCCATTGCAAATATTTGCCCTCGGTATTTGCATGCGTCTCTGCTCTTTAATCTCTCGGCGATGAAGTAATGGCGAAAACTGTTGTTTGAGGCCGACGACGCAAAGGGCACTCTCGAGAGTCAACACAATAAAAATGATTGAAAAGTAGCTGCGGCGGCGCCGGTCTTTGGATTTTATCCTTCTTTTTTGCGCTCTCGCACACGCAATGTTTGGATATTCAGCTCACTTCATCTGACCTTCTCATGGGTTTCGGTCGGTGCGCCACCTACGTGCCCATGTATACAGAAAGAAGTAGGAAAATTACGGTGAAATTTACTTCCAATTCCAAACACGACCTCAGAAGAAGATTCAAGTTTGTTTCCAATTGAGATTTGTTGGTGTAAAATAATGGATTTTGATTTTTTTTTTAATAAAGGTCCGAAATTATGCACTTTTTCTACCAATTTCATAGCAAAAAATTTTGGATTTATTTAAAACCGTAATTTAATTAAAAATTAATAATTGCTTGATTTTTATTTTTAAACTCCTCTCAAATTATATCGATTATTCAAGAGAGATTTTTTTATGGGCTGCTTTTGTTGAGAAAATTTTATTGAAATATAAATATTCAATAATAATTCGATTATTTTCAAGAATGGTAGTTCAAAAAAGATTAAATTATTGCTTCAGCAAACCGACTCCTTGATTTCTATCATTTGCCAATGATATTTGCAACAAAATTCGCTTTTCAAAATATTAACCTGTAGCAACAAATTTCATTATTTTTCGGTCGGAGCTTGTTGAATTTTGAATGGTGTTTCGGAAATGAGCTTGGGGAGCTGCCAGGTTCGCTCTCCATAATTGGCGATGTTTGTTTAACTGGCAGCTAGGCCGTACCAATAAACACATTGTAACCCGTGTGCGCTGCGATATTCTGACAGATTAAAAGCAAACACAGCCTGTTTGCCGCCAATTAACTGGGGCAAATGTGTGAATTAAACCGCGCGGGTCCGGCAGCCAGGCATATTTACGATCAAAGGTTGAATAATTCAGCAAAAGAGCAATAATATATTTCCCCGAAATCTCCTGAATCTGCACAATTTTGTAAAAATTTGAGTCCAGATAATTGATGAATTGCGTAATTTGTGACGATTTTTCTCTAGTTTAAACTGCTAAAATAATTTTTTATTTTTCCATTTATTACTTTTGAGAAACCTGATTTTTGCTTCTTTCAAGAGAATGGAAAAATTTTTAATTTTGCGCAAAATTAAAATTTGCAAATAGAAATTGAAAATTTTAGTAATTTCATTTTGCTTTTTGTGTTATATTTTTAAATGGTACGGATACAAATATGCTAATTAGCATTTGGAAATGACCTAATTTTGATTGCTATGTGTTGTTTTCTGACATTTTAATTTGTCGTCATGAATTTTTGGCGCCTTGTGCTAATAATTTTCAAGATTTTACGAAATCGAAATTTTAAATAATCACAGAATATTACAGATAGAAATTTTTTTGATAAATTTTCGTTTTTCTTCAAATGTATTGGTCAATTTTTACATTTAATTTTTCAGCTTACAATTTCGTGATTTTAACTCTTTTGTAACCACATTGTTAAAAATCACATTGACAGTTTTTTTTCTACTTAAAATCATTAAAAGATTACAATAAATCTGAATAAACTTTTTTAGAGGAATAATATGTTAGACTTTATTTTTAACCGATCAAAGGCCTCTTCAAAACGTTTTCTATGGAGTTGTATCGATCTGGGGGCTCCCGCTGCGTCTAAACAGCCAATAATGCCGCCCCCCGCGGTCATTGTTGTGCTACGCTGGACGTTGGCAATAAACGCGTACTCGACACGAGATGAATGGCCTCCGTTTTGACAGCTTGCGGCCACGCCACTGCTGATGTGCTGATTTATACATGGCTTGTTGCTCTCTGCAATGCAATTAAACGAAGCAGAGAGCTGTCGCACGTCGCACGATTAGCAAAAGCAAATTATATTTATTTGCCAGAACGACCAGAACGTTCGCACCGAGCTGGCCATCCAAATTCCAAATTTCGTGTAGCCAAAAAAGGCAGCAATACAAAAATACACATCAAAATCTTATCTTCTATTAAAATTTAAATTTGTGGTCAAATATTTTTTTAAATTGTATCGATTACAAAACTTTTGAATTTCAATTTAAAAAATCACTATTTATTACTTAATTTTGGTCGCAATATAAAAATTTGGATTCAAAATTCAAAAGTTTTGGATATTAATTGGAGCTACTTCGCAATCGATTTAAAAATTAATTAGTTAATTATTTCCATTTTTTTCTATCTTCTTAATAAATCGTAAATCCCATGTTTTTATTCTTAATAATATCGCTTGAAAAACAATTAACCTCCATAAAAAGTTTACAAAAATGGCACATTAAAAAAGAAATCACTCTCTACCAAAATATTTTGCTTCAGAGACTCGCTAAATTTATTCCAGAAACCTGTATTTTTCAATTAAAAATGTATCAGCTTTAGAAATTTTTTTTGCGTTTTTCTCGTGAAAAGACCCTTTCATGAAATATTTTTCCCACCATAACGGAGCAGTTCATTAGTGAGACCGATTTCCGAATCAGGCACCTCTACGTGTGCACTCTTTACGCCGAAATTCATTTGAAAAAGCTGCTTTTTTCCGGCCAGAGTGCGCAGCTGGTGCTTTGCGGTCTTTTAATTAAATAAATGAAACTCTGGAAATATAAAAAGCAGTCAAGCCCATTCGTGAGTGAATGCCAAAACTCTGTCAGAACGTGCATCGGAGCAAAAAATAAAAATAAAAAATCGACTCCACCCGTCTGTATATGTCTGGCTGAAATTTTTAATTAAAACAAAACGGAGTGACTCTCGAGTGCCGCAGAATGTGACTCTTTACTCTGAAATTTCAGTCGACGCGCCGAAACAGGTCCATTAAAAGCCAGAGAAGTTGGTTTATTGCCCATAAACGGCGTAGCACGTCTTTTTTTCATTTCTGACCATTTAACTAATATGCAGCAAATTAAAAATTTTATCACTCTCTTTCCGAGTGCTCAAATTCAATTGGATGTTCGCATTCTAGAATTTATAACAATAATATAAAAAAAAAATTCCAAGCGCTTAAAAATTAGCACATCTTTCTCGGAAACGAGTAAAATGCAAAAATCCACGTTTTTTTACCCTCAATTAAACTTTTCTCAAAAATTTACGCTGTGACCCCCAATTTTCTTGTGCCAAATCTGTAGCCCGGTTACTAAGGAACACGATGGTCGGTTACAAACTTTTGGCAAACTTATTTTCATGTACTTCAATTACAGTTAAACGATTTTTGTGAAAATTTTACATAAGCGAGCCATGCCAGCCAAAAATGCCATGCTGGCTGGATGGGGGGCCAGCGCCGGCCTGCCATGACTCGCCAGCGCGGGCCAGCCAGCAATGGTACGCACCGAACTTTGCAGGCCGACCCAGCACTGGGCCGACGCCGGCTCCAGCCATGGCACCACGCTGGCTAGCCATAATGCAACCGACATGGCTCAAAATTGAATAGCCATACACACTTTTTGCTTTTTTATTGTTAATAATTTTAATTTTTTTAATTTCATAATTTGGATAATATTTAAAAAATATATATAAATCAAATGACATATCTCTTCAGGAAAAATAGCATGTTTTTATTATTCAAACATAAATTACACAATAATAACAGGTAGAGGTCAAGAATAATTTTTTATGTTGAGCATTGATTATTTAAAAATTATACAATAATTATTGAAATTTTAAACCAAACACAAAAGCATTGAATTTTACTTATTAATTAAATCTTAATAGAACCAAAACTTATTTACTATATTTCATATTGTTTAAAAAAACTCATTCCACCAAATTCTATATAAAATCAAGTATATAAATGAATTTAATTTGACAAATTTATTTGAATATCTTATATAAATAATTTATATATAAATTTTTAGATCAAACTAAATATTATTTTTGTAATAAAATCGCATTCTACCTAATTGATGAAGCACATTATCTACAAAGCTGGGCTGATGTCGATACCGCTGATGTCTGAGGTGTTCTTCAAAAGGTTCTGAAACAGTAAAATTTTATAATTAAAATTGTGGATTAAATAGCTAAAAATCTCAATTTTTATATTAATTAATAAAATCATTCATTAATACACCAAAATAATTTAAAAGTGGAATTAAATTTTTTCAGGACGTAAACTTATTTATTGTGTAAGATTTTTTTTTAATATTTTGAAAATCAAAATTGATTCGTTACCTTTTTTATTTTAACCAAGAGGGGATGAGTAGTGGTTATGTATTCCGCGTTGCTGGGTCTCCTCGGCAAAATTTGACTCCTAGGATTTTTTGTCTGAAATGTGAATTAATAAATTAATTTAAAAATCGGAAAAACGCAGATTGAATGAATATTAAATTAATTTAGGCGCAGTTTAGGCGAAGAAACGCCCTCCAAGAATGCAATGTTAGAGCTGTTTGTTGTTGGCGTCAAAATGATGCCACGCTAAGTTATGCCAGAATTAAGTCATTTTTAAACTTACCATTTTTGTAAATCGGTGAACGAACTTGATCCCAGCATCAGCGAACAAAAATTTTCCAGAAGTGTTGCAATTTAAGGGCTTAAATTATGAAAAAATGCGGAGCTGATAAACGTGGTCAGGTCTGGCGTCCGACATGTTTGTTGTGTTTGCCCTGACGCCGCTGTGGGAGAAGCGGCGCATCACCTGAAATCTCTCTTCTGCGCATATGCGCATGCTAGAAAGTCAGTGTATATGGCTGGCCGCAACGCAGCCACCGCGCAGCCAGGGTGGTATAACTTTTTCCTGCCAACCGATTTTAAACGCGTTTAAATTTCACGCAACACAAACTTATTACATGAAATTAGATTTTTTTAAATCCCGAACATAAATACGAGAATATCATAGTGACATTAGTGACCTAACTTGCGTGCGTGAATTACTTATATTTAGAAAATTAAAAAAAAAAAAACATAAAATTGTACGCAGTCCAAATTTAAAATATATTTTGTTAAGGGTGCAAATAAATTATAAAGTTAAATTGAGTTAAACAAATAATTTAAATTAAATTAAATTATAAAAAATATGTTTAAAAAAATTTAAATAAAAAATATAAAAAATTAAAATAAATAAAATGTTAAAGGTAAAAATCTCTTCTAAATAACTAGTTTATTGTATAAAATTTAATAATGATTTAATTAATATTATGGTATATTAAAAAGTAACGCTAAACAATATTGGCACCCATTGAAAATGCCATTAATGCTCAATCAGGGCTAGCCAGCGTTCGAACTTAGAATATGGCAGGAATCATTTTTTCTCTCCTTCTGAGAGCCACCGCGGTGGCTGCCTGCTGGCCGCTCTCAAATTGCCAGCACTTCAGCCAGCAGCCAGCAGCGCGCCCTCGCTGCCAGTACCGGCCCTGTACTGGGCCACCATGGCATTTTTGACTGGGATGTTAACTTCAAATGCGATTTTCTCAAAAATTTATGGGGTAACCTCCAATTTTCTTGTTATCAAAATGATCCATAAGGTCCATACTAATGAAACTCACTTTTAGAGTAAAACTTTAAAATAATAAAATTAATCTATAAAAAAATTTACATTGGCAATTGAAAAAAGTCACAAAACAATTTATGTGATTTTTTTTTTGCAAAAGAAAAATCTCATTTCAAAACCATTTACACACTTTTTTGCAATATCACTTAAAAATCTCACTCAAAATTGCTTTTCTTCTTCAATTTCGAAAGAAAATGTTATTATTTACATAAAATTTACATTCAACAGCAGAGCCTCCTTCAGTAATCTCCGAGGAAGAAAATTTACTCGACCTTTTCCACGCAGAAAGTAGAGTCTAACGAGTTTCTCTCTGCTCTGGCAGATCCATTAAGGGCTACGCCGCGTTCACTCAGTCGTGCGAATTCATTTTTTCTTCCACGACCGATCTGAATGAAAAATGAATAAGGCGCAGCGAGTCGCGAGAAAATCGTTAAAACACGCATAATTGCAGCCGAGTCCTCGTTATTGGATTTCTTTCTTATTCCCCGCTGATTAGCGCCGCGACATTCAGATTCGCTGGGGCAATAAATCATAAAAAGAAGGAAAAGGTGCGAGGCAAAAATAAAATCCCGGAGTTAAATGGAAAAGTTTCGACGTGTACGAATAAGTGCGAGGAGATTGGAAAGGGGGAGAGAAGAAGCCTTAACATGGTTTCGCAGTTTTGATTGCCGACGAGCCGTAAATTACGTCTCTCGGCAGAGAATCCTTGGGATAGAATTTTGCTCTCCCGACTCGTGTGATGCTTTTACGATTATTATTGGCTGTCGTTGGCCGTAAATGCCGGCCGAGGTCGCTGCCGCTTTTTGTGTGCAAGTGGAGAGAAAAAGTGGGTTGCACAAGACCAACGACCTTCTCTCGATATTGCACTGTAAAGGAAGAAGAAAAAGATCCCGTATGTATATAAATGGAATGGCTCTCACCTACCTCCATCGACAGATCGAATGGACACACCGAAGAAGCCTGGGCACGGCATTTGAATCTCAAACAGCCACGAACTGGAACAGAAAAAATAATATTTTATGCTCCCCAAGGATCAAAACGAATGGAAAGAGACATGACGAGAGTTATTATTGCTTTGATTACATCTAAAATAAATTTTTTTATCAAAGTGCAGTGAAAAAAAAAATACAGGACTGCGACGTTACTACTGAATGCAATTTAAAAAAATATTATAAGATGAAAATTTTCAGAAAAATATGTCTGAACTGTTTTTTAATTTTAGAAATTTTGAATATAAGGTGAAAAGAACGACCAGTTTGAATTTCAAAGTACTTGCATTAAGAAAAAATATGTTAAAAATATTCAAAATAGATCTTTTAAGGCCATAAAATAGGGCTGTAAATTTAAAATGTTCGACTTTATTTTTCATACAAGTCCAAAAACAGCAATAATCTTGAATTATATTTGAAATAGTTTTAATTGACCAAATTCATCAATGATGATATTAAATTGGAAGACTTTGTCTTAAAATGAAACTTTTTTTAAATTAAACCATTCATAAAAATTAAAATACATATTAATTTTCTTGATATGGTCAATTTAATTTATGAAGAATGTTCTTTATTCGTACAAAATGTTTTAGAAAAAAGGAAATGTTTTTCAAAATGAAACCAATTCTAGCAAAAGAGTTAAATTCGAATAGAAAACCTGAAAAGTAGATATTTTATTCAAAGGTTAGAAACCTACACGAAAAGTCTGTTGGCATTTGTGGATTTTGGGAAGGACCTTTCACATAGGACGTGGCCTTTTCCGTTTTATACTCGCATGGCCATTAGCTCCGCGTCGTAATCTTTCATCACAATGGTGCACGCTAGAAAAATAGGCCGGACGTGTAATTCCTTTTGCCGGGGGAAATATCCGTTTGGGAGCAGCAACAAGCAAGCCATTCGCAGTCATGGCGAATTTTATGGATTTTACGAGTAGCGTTGAAACAGCGGCTACGTGTTCCACTTGATAATTGCCTCTGGCGTCGCGCTCCGCCGATTCCTCCGTCCGACGACGCACGAAAAAAAGTCAAGCGAGTCGTAATTGCCATTAGAATCGCGCCCGAATTTACTCTCTCTCGTTCTTTCTCGAGGATCGTTTGTCCGACGAGAACGCGGAGAGTAGTATTGGATGACGGTCAATGAAGCGACGCATTGGAACGGAATGAGAGGGCCATTCGGAAAAAAAGCGGCGGCTTTTCCACTCTCTGCAGTGTAATTGCATTTCGTCCGACCGGCCAGAGCAAAACGCTCGCGGCTAATTGGATGTACGTTCACGTTTACGAGGAAGCGGTCGTAAATATGCAGAGGACTCTCCTTAAATATTGAAAAGGCGAAATCCTTTTTTAGAAATAGGAATAAAAGGCCCTGAGTTCGAATTTTAAAAAACTTTAGAATTGGTATTAAAAAAAAGTTGATGAAATTCTGGAAAATTATCAGAGCTGACAAAAACATCAAAAGGTTTCCCGGGTTATCTACGAAATGCTATGCAGAATAATTAAATTATTGATGATTGGGGTTGCAATTTTCAAGCCCTTCAAGATTTTTAACATAAAAATTTAAATCATAAAACTAACAAATTCAGTTCCTATTTAAAATCATAGTTGACCAGTTCTTAGCATTCTCACACACCGCGCCCAAAGTTGATGATAGAGATCTGAGAGATTCACAACTTAATCTCCATTACTTGAAGGGAACGTCCCTAAATTTTTATCAAAATATTTTCAAAATGGCGGATTTTACGGGACATTTTGAAAAAACCAAAAACTTCAATTATCACGGCTTCTGTTGGTTGGAGAACAAAAATCCGGGTATGGTTGAACTCGTCTCGTTAAACTCTACAACTTTGCTGTTGATCACAAAATCATTGGTCAAAGGTCAAGGTCACTTCCGATGACCTTGTGTCATTCAAACTGGAATTTGAGCATCAAATGCAAACATTTTTGAAATTCTGAAATAGCCATTCGATTCCTCATAAACTTTTACATACATTATGTGAAAATGGCGAAGTGGTTTTTTCTCTTTAAATTTATATTAAAATAAAAAGATTAAAAAACGTGGTTTTTGGTGCTCGGATCAACGATTTTTAAGAAAAACGTAAATAACCTAAGAATTTTTCAAAGAGGGTGAAATTTAAAAAAAAAAATCAATTTTTGTAATTATTTTCCTATCTACCCTAGAACGATTAGAGCGGAATGCCAAAATTTGAACTGGTATGCCTATTTGCATCAACCGTGGTGAGTTTTTCTCCTTTGACGATCGTTCGGACCATCACGCCAAAGGGTCCAACCCCTTTCAAGTGAAATTACATTAGATTGGCGAAACTATTCCCGCGGTGCATAACAGGGTCTCTGTGCTATCCAGAGTGGCAGGCAGGCGTGTATGATATCAGAGAGCAGCAGACGAGGGATCGATACAGATCAGTGGTCTGCAAATGCAGCGGCGGCGGCACTTGGGCGAGCAAACGGGCCCGTCACCCTGGCCGGCCGGCCGACGGAGTGTTTGCCTCTGCGGTCGGCCCCAACAAAACCGCACTTCTCTCCCTCACACATGCTTTATTGCCTAATCCGCCTGCAGCCTCAAACCGAACACCAAAGGCAGGCGATAATTCGCCGACAGCTCCCAATCACGCCCCGAACGACGGGGGTGTCAGCCGCGAATTGATTGCGCCTCCGACTAACTAAAACCATCCTCCATTGTAGGACATGCAGCACTAGTTTCATGACCGAGAGCAAAAATTCTTTTTTCTCATCCCCAGTGTGTTGCTGTAAAACTTATTTGCATTGTTTTTTAATAAAGAACAATTTTTTACAACGAGGACAAGCCCAATTTCTTTCACCTACTCGAGTGTCAAATTTCTTCGGAAAAAAGTGATTAATGATTTTGAAATAAATATTTTCATCAGATAATTTATATGAAACAGAAGCAGTTGGATCCAATTATTCACGACTTTTGTATTTAGTAAAAAAATCACGTTTGTTTAAAGTCACTATTGAAAATATTCAAATTAAAATTTTGATTAATAATTTTATTGCAATTTTAAATTTATTCCCTGGATATTTTTAGGTAGAAAATTTCAAAATTAGAACGTTTCCAATGAGACAAATAAGCAACAATAAGAAGTAAGAAATTTACTAT